ATATTTCTTTTTATTATTACTTTGTATAAAAGGGGAATATTTTTTAAAATACTAACTTGATATGTATGACAATATTTCATTTTTTAAATTGGATATAAAGATATGATCTGTCTCTAGGTATCTATCTCGTTCTAATACTTATTTTCTTTTAAATTAATAAAATACTCTTATTTTTTTTTATAATGTAACAAATTTATATTAAGTTTGTAGGACACACTTGATCATTACCATTTTTTTTATAGTTATTTGATATTTATCAAATTTTTATTTAATATTTGTATAATATTAATAACTTCTTTTTTTGTATTTGACATTAGAAAAATGAATGTGTATAGAATATATGTATTTGTTTTATGTTGAATATTTGATAATATTATATATATTTTTTGATAATTTTCTATTGTTTTCAAAAAAACTACTTAATTAATATTTTAAACCGTAAAATAGTGGACACTAAGATACAAGTAAAGATTAAAAAACAAATATACTCATTATTCGATAAAGATAGAGATAAGATGAAAATTTAATACTAAAATATTTAAATCTTTTTTTTTGTCATGCACTAAGACTCATTCGGATAGAGAGAAAATAAAAATGAGTAAAATTTATATAATGTTTTTTTGTTATTGATAACTTATTTATTTATTTATAATTATTTATTATATTATTATTATGCACATACTCTCTTTTTTCATATTGTCCACGAATATTTGAATGCAAATTAGTGACAATTTAAAATAATGTATATATATTGTATATGGTCGAAGACCTCTCGGTCCTACCAACTACAACTTTTAAAGAAGTTACTTAAAATAATAACAAGATATTATTTATCGAGCACCTAGTTGTACCAGATAACTTATAGCCAGTACAATTGATATGGTGACTATAGAATACCGATGATTATATTACTGAAGGGATAAGTTCAATGATCAATAGTGGGAACCGAATACCGGGTATTAGGTACTATGTTTCCAAAGTCAAAACCCGCATCCATCCTTTGATAACTACATTCCTTGCTGAGCTAGGACACCGTCTACTAGTACCTCACTGTGCCTTTTAGAGCCATTCTCGCATTGGATAACTTAGCCAAAAACATGTGCAGTTTCTCACAGGTAAGCTAGTCATTAAGTCTATAGACCAATGGATCCCTAAGTGTGGCTATTCAAATAGGATCCATAATTAACAAAATATGTCTATAAATACTATTTTAATCGTAATTTAACTTCATTTTTCGCATTAATCCAAATTTGATCAAAATCTCTAATCAAGAACTTGAGTAACTTTCTACAAACACCCACCTTTTGATAAAGAAGGAATGAGACTTATAGGATGACTACTGTATAGCGAAGAATTTACTAAGTGAAAAGAAACTTTACAAGATATGTTCGGTTCTGAAAAAACAATACTCGTTAAAAAAATTTATATTTTCTGAAAAACATTTATTTGAGATCTTAACTTTGCTCTTGTGTGTTTGAGTAAAATTTCGGATGGTCAAATAAGAAGTGCGTCGAAAATGACTTATTGTCCAAAATTCTATAGACCAACTTAAGTTTTGGTGTAATAACTTATGGATTTTTTTAACACAAATTGTTTTGTTTCTTTGTTGGATGATAAATGAAAGTGTCTATGTGTTTTGATGCACATTATGAAGTGTTTTGATACACATTATGAAGGCCAAAGACTTAAAGAGAGAAATCTATTTATAATAGGAAACTTTTAGTGATGGGGATCACTCCTTTCAAATTGAAGGCACTACATAGTGTATGCCCATTGTTCTTTTGTTGATATTTTTATATAACAGTTTTGTATAACCACCTACTTCCGTGTTACACTTTACTAATGCATCACCTACTTCCGTGTTACACTTTACTAATGCATCACATCACTGAATGGTATCAAGGTTTTATAGATGACCAAAAAATGGTGACTAAGTTCATTAGTACTTCACAGTGGATTTAATTGCATCCAATATCTGCATAATGAATGACAACCTTGTATCAGTCACATATCTTAAACATGATGCTAAAAAAAAAGATAAATTTGAGGTAAACAAAAACATTACCTTATTTTTGGTTGGCATATAGAAAGGTTCAAAAACCAAAGGAAAAGGAGTGTCGAAACCACAAATTCTTGCTACAGGGGCCTCTAACTGTGTCACAAGAGAAATACAAGCTTAAGACATGTATTACAAAAGACAAATACCAGCTTCAGACATATGTATAAAAATTCCTACATCAAATAGAAATAAAATTAAATAATAATATATAAATAGATGCAAACTTTA